ATATTTGAATGAAAACCAGATTTTTGCTTTTTTTAAAATGATTATTTGACACCAAGCGTAGTTTTCTTTAATTATTTTCATGGCATTTAAATGTCAACACATTAAGGAAAATTACTCGGACTTTTCTGTTTTGAAATATTCAAGAGTTCAAACAAATAAAGAAATTCTCAAGGAAATTTGTTACACAACGAAAAACTAAGCGTCAAAGGAGAAGTATGCAAAACACAAGTGCTTGTCATTCATTTGGCGTTAAGTCTTAGCATTCTGTATTTGTTCTGAATCGTTTACCCATGAAACCTTGTGGAAGTGTTGCATAAGTGACTTATTTAATCATCCAAATATATATTTTTTGCAAGTGCTGAATAGGAGGATTAGATTTCTCACAATTTTTACTTCGACATATTATATCCCATCATCTTTTTATTGAAAATGATTGAAATATAAAAATTTTAAATTATGTCGGTAGATTCAAATTTTTCTTACCAAGTTTTTATTCCAATTTCTAGAAGCTTTTACTTTTATTACATTGGTAAAGTTATTTTGATTTTGATACTTAATTGTATTTTTCTTCTAAGATAATAAAAGTTAGAGCATATTGATAATTTATTTCTTACATAGATCATATTAGTATCAAATTTTCTGCAACAATTTGAACAAATTCTCTATTTTACAAGAATTCTTGGCTTATTTTTTATACGTCAGAAAAATTATATCTTAGTTGCTAGCTGATATAATATTCATATCACAGTAGCATTCAAATTCTGTTGCCAAGATGATTTCAGCTCCCTATCTTCTATCAAATAACTCGCCAGTCAGCAGCCATACTTAAGAAAGAAAATTTTTTAGTTTTAATTAAGAAATTAAAAAGTAGTCTAGAAATACGTAATAAGGTAACAGAGAGGAGGATAAAGTTGAAAAAATAATAAGAAATTTGACTCATTTGTTTGTTCCTTTTTCCTCTCTTTTCTTCGTACTTCATATTATTTGTGAAAAAAAGTATTCGGTTGCTTTGCATTGTGTCAATAATACAAAAACTTTTGTAGCAGTCATTTTAACAAGCTCTTGAAAGCACTTTTAAGACTCCACAAATTTGTAATTTATCAACTTCACTGAAGAAATCGTTTTTCAAGATTGCGGAAACTGAAATATTTTTACAACTAGGCGAACTTGGTAGATGAATAATACTTAAAAATCTATGGTTGGACTATATAAACTGTTTTTTAGCGCTACTGATGATTAAGATCTGATTCATTTTTCACTGTCAACTCATGCCTTTTTTAATTTTAATTTTGGTTAAATATAAAATGTTGAGTGCATCAGTGCAAAGGAGTATATTAATTCTTGAAGATCACTGAGCTTTTTGTTGATACTATTTTTTAAAGATTGCTCAATTAAAAATTTATAAAAACTGTTGATTTTCCAAATTTGTATGAGGTATACTTTGTTCTTGTGACATCATTTTGTTTTTTAGAATAAAATTGGTTTGAAACAGTAGTAAACTTTAATTTAAAATATGTATTTAAAGGAATAGTTTTTGTTTGGTATTTTAAGATGCATCATCATATGCGTTTGAATTTTATGCTTACAAATTTAAATATCTTTTTTTTTTTCAAATTTGATCATTGCTTCCATCTAAATTATTTACCCAAAGAAATATCTCCATCACCAGTAGTTTGTGAAAGAATTCTAAATTGACTTTTATACAATATGATGTCATAAAATTGTCTAAATCGACTTTTATACAATATGATGTCATAAAATTTTTTTACTTTCTTACATGAGAAGTAGTTTGAAAATTAACTTTACAAATAATATATTCATGGTAAATATGATTTACAGTAATTATCGGAAAGTGAAAGAAATGTACAACGGGGGAAAGAAGAATGATAAGAAAGATAATGGTGAATGGCTTTTGCTATCGAAATCGTGTACTAAAAGTATACCGGGCGAAAAAGTAACAAATATCTCTCATGGAAATTCTGAAGATTTTCCAGATTCTGTGAAGAAAATTTGGAATGATTCTGACAAATATTTCAGTTCCACTACATCCGTCAGTATTAGCATACTATTTTACTGCTATTTTACTGTTTTTTGAGTAAATTTGAGGTATTATTAAGCTAATACCTTAATAGAAATTTTGGTCACAAGAAAAGTTATATAACAATATAATGATGCATCTAATAATTTCAGTTCTACCACTAAAATTCCGTTATTGCCATTTTATAGGTTCCGCAAACAAATTATAGTCAACCAAGTGAGCGCCTGAGCACAGATGATTCTGATCTTGTAGATGATTCTACTAGTGGTATATACACTTTTCTAAAAAAAACTAAATTATTTTTTACTGGAAAATTTTGAATAACTGTGTAATAAATAAAAAGCAAGTAATTTTTTATGCAGAAGTGTCGCTACTAAAATTTGCATTTAAAATAGAAGACAAAATTGGTATGTTCTCCACGAATAAATATAATTTTGGGAGAGAGGAACATTAAGTGAAAGTTCGAAATTTTGTGATGGCTTTTTGAAAATTAGTGATATTAGGATTCATATTATGGACTGCTAGTAGGATATTATTGAGTTGCTATATTATCAGGTCCCTAAAATGGATTGCTATACAGAATAAGCATTTATAAATGTTACCCAACAAATATACGATAATAGCATTGTAGTGGCACAACTATCAACATGTTCAGCGATATCAGTAACTTCTGCTTCTACATCATCATTTTATCCAACAGTTAACATTACTAACCGAACAGAAATCAGTAGCGAACATCCAGTGTATGTTTGAAAGCTTTTTTTTGATAGAGCTGAAAATCTTTGAAGTCTTTGAGATACAAAATTAAGTGCATAATTTTCATTCTGAAGCAATCAAGTAACCTCTAAAACTTTTAGTGAGCATCTGAAATTGCCAACATATAATAAATATTTTAGGGATAAACGGTTGCAAGAAACACAAGACAACGAGGCTCATAATAGGTACGACAAATACAAGGTAGTTGTTGCTATTACAAAGCACACAAAATTTTTGTATTGACTGATTAAGTAACATATTTAATTATGTTTGTAGATCATTATTATGTTATGCAGCGAAATTAATGAATTTGAGGAAGTTACTTCGCAATTAAGAAAGCTAGCATTCTATTTCAGTATAATTTTTTTTAAAAATCATACTTGTTGCTTAATAAGAAATATGCATCAAAAATAAATATATTTTTTGAAGCATATGAATGAAAGAAATTAATAAATTTAATAATTTTGTAGAAATATACGACTACGCAAAACCGACTGAATGAGTTACATAAAATTATTGAGGAGAAGGAAAAACAAGTGAGAATACTACGAAATGGTCTTAGTGATAAAGACTTGGAAATTGGAAAGTTGTGTAATAAGATTAGAGCTTTGGAATATAACTGCGAAAGATTGCAATCAGTAGTTGAATCTATTGGGTGTGCTTTTTTTTGTTCGTTTGTTATTTCATTTGTAATTTTTAAATTTGTAAAATCAGTGAAAGTACTATATGAAAAGTTCAAAAAGGCAAGAATGAATCCACATATTCCTAATTCATACAATAACTTTTTATTAATTTTTTCGAACAGTTTTTATATTTTTAGCCCCAGATTTCTACACAATATATAACAGCTTTTTTAAACGATACTAAGCTCAAAATGATAAATAAGGTAATCACAAAAAAGAGTTAAATGTTTTTGCAAAATTTCCAAGAAAGGTTATTTGCAATGCAAGCAAATTTAATTAAAGCTAACTTCTGCTGTTTAGATTTATTTAAATGAAAAATATCTCCATATAGTTTACTTACATTTGTTTTACTATCGTATTTTCTAACAAATATATGTGGTTGATTGAATTTTTGCTCAAAAAAGATCAATCAACCATGCTCAGACCGTAGCAAAACTTCATTCATTGAGACATCTGTCATTACTGTGAAAAGCTTTGTCCATGTTATGATTTAGAGATGAAGCTGAACAGAATGAAGTAAAAGTAAAAGAACTTTTCATCGAACGGGATGGTTTACTTGTAAGGAACGCTTCTTTGTCAAGACAAGTATGTGCTACACATTTTGATCAAGACCCTTTTGATCTGAATCTATTAGCGAGAAGTTGATCTTCCAGAAATAAGGAATCATTTAAAAAACAGTGACGATTATTAAGAATTTTGTATATCAAACATTCCTAATAGATGAATAATAACATTTGTACAAGAGCTCAGTTTAAACAAGTATCCTTAGCTTTTTAAGCAGTGTGATTTCAAATTCATTTCAAATTTAATAGCACTAAGATCGTTATTCAAAATTTGTAAGCAAAAAAATTGTATGTGGACAGCAATGATTTTTACAGATGGAATTTGAGAAACGAGAATGGTCTATCGAACGTGAACGCCTTTCAATGGAACTTGATGATGTCACTCGAGAACTCGAACTACAGAAAATGATTTTGAACGGCGAAAGTATATCAGAAATTGTGCAGCGGGTAAGAATGATTTTTATGAATTACAAATAGAATATTTCTGGTAGGTGAAGAAGAAAGTCTTTGCGCTGCATCATCATCATGACAAAGGTCTGCAGTGATAAATAGAATTAGCAGCAGCTCATATTAAGTAATGAATTTAGTGGCAAACGAAAGTTTTTGAATTGGAAGGAATGATTACTGATAGAGATCGAGCGATACGAGCCCAGCGGCTTCGAATCAGTAAGCTAAAACAATCAATAGCAGAAACTGATCGTATTTCGCATTCTAATTCTTTGGAATCTCAGACCAAACTCGATTCTTTTTCCCTTACTTACATAAAGCATCTTCTTTTACAATATCTCACAAGGTGAATCCTTTCCGACTCAATAAATTTTTAAGAAAGTTATATTTTGCAAACTTATAAATTTTATCTCTTTTGTATTATATTTACAACTTTGATATTTGTTCAACCTCAATCTTTATCACAAATCAAAATGTCGATAATTATTGAGGTGCCTGTTTTACTTTTCGATTTTCATAATTTCAGCGTAATTACTTGTTTTATAACCAAATACCACGATGCCTGGCTACTGATTGTCTTTTTTTTGAATATGTTGCAAACACTATTTTGCATTAATTGTGACAAAAATTAAGTAATTTATTCATATAGGTATGCAGTACATTCGTTTCACTTCAAGGTTGTCCGTAATAATATGAAAAAGATCAGTATTTCAGTTCCGATGAAGAACGTATTCCACTGTTGCGAGACGTATCTAGTGCACTTCATTTATCAAATGAAGAAGAGCGCCAAGTACGGACAAGTCTGAAAAATAAAATTCACATTTCTTAACTGTTGTATTGTAATAATAACTGTATGAATAAAAGAAATGCTATGTTTTATTCCAAATTTTAGCACTTATTAATCCTTTCATTGCCAAGCCACCTGCCTACTTTCATTTTAATGTATCAATATCGTTTTGTTCAATTTTTGTATTCTTCAAAATGCTTCCAGTCGCTAAATTTATATTTTAATTTTTGAAGCAAAAATTGTAGGTATGAAATTTTCTACATTTTTCTAGAATTACAAAATAAGAGATTTTTGGTAAATAAATATTGTTAAATATGAAGCTTATTAAATAAAATGTTATATTGCTTCTATGTGATTTGTGTTAACCAATTCATTTCTTGTCATATCTTGAATAAATTTTTTTTTCCATATTTATAATTGCAGAAGAAAGATCTGTGTATTTTGCAACAAGGAAAAAGATGTTACGAATTTTGTAAAGACTGAATAGCCAAGAAAGTTTGCTAGTCACGATATTTTGAATTCAAACCAGCAACGTTATGACGTGAATTAGACTAAAAAATTTGGAAATAAAATGTATGAGAAAGTAAGTACTAGGTAAATCGGTGGAAAATATATGACTACAGATGAATAAATGTATGGCAAATTAAGAAAGTGAAGAAATAATTTCAAAAAATCAGCATGACAGTTTTAAGTTACAATATAGTCTCAGTTCTGACTTTTTGAATTTCTTTCAAGTGATTATTTTCGGAAGCAATGCCGTATCGGCAATATTTATGCTTGTATTACTGAGTTAAATATATTCTGAATAAAAAAAAGTGCAGAACGCATAACAAATATCATGCAAGCAGATATGAGCACGTAAAGTTCAAACTTTGTAAATAAAGTCAACAATTATTTTGCTGATGAAGTTTACGAATACTCATTGATCGTCGCTGCTTTAAAAATCCAAATGTTATTAGATCACGAAAACACCGGCGAAAATCATTATTGTACATCGTGTAAATTATTGGATTCAACACCTTAAACGAATTTAAAATCATGTAAAGGTAAATTAAATAGCATTAAATGATCAATCAACAAACTGATTTACGTAAATTGATTGATATACAATTTTGAATGAGTAATAGATACTTTTGAATCACTGAAACTATGAGGTTTTAAATTAGGGACTAACAGAATTTGAATATCCTAGCCATAGAAACACTTCTTTCGTTACGGAAATGAGCGCATTAGAATGACTCAGCAACAATTCAAAAAGATAAAGCAAAAAAAATGGTAACCAACATATTGTAAATGCTGAAATTAACATTAATTAATAGCAAATAACAAAAATAATTGGAAAATTAATTTCCAAATTTTGGTTGCTTAACTGGAAACAAATAATTGCTCCTTTTGCGAATTATTGCATTCAAAGAATATGAAACAATGGTTTGTTACTAAAAACGTTACATTCAAATGTGAATAAATGTATTTCTTTCTTTCTATTGTCTGAGGTGACTATCACTGCTTTAAGTAAATAACCATTATTATATTCATTAAGAAATTTTTGACTACAAGTAACCAAATTAAACCTAGCGAACAAAACTAGAAAAAATCGCACTGCTTCTGTATTAATCTTTTCTTAATCATATTTCGATATTATCCTTTTTATTGCTTATATTCACTACAGAAAGAAAAATTCCACTCAAATTAACTTTTATTGACTATGAGATTTTGTTTTTTTACCTTTTAATTTTTTAGATTAATGAAGTAAAAAAGAAAGAATTTTTCCAAATTAAATCAGAATATGAAACAAAATACCAAAGAATAATATGGCAATTGTTTTTAGAGCTTTACGTTCCTTAATGTAAAGAATTTTCTCTCTGGAATGTCGAGAAAATTTTCCAGGGCCACACGTGTGATAGGGGACGTGAGTCCTAGCCAAGAAGCAACGAGGTTGTAGTTTGAAGTAACATTGTTTGGCTAATGTTATCACTGCTCCATCGTCGGCACTTAAGCGGTTTCTCATTGACTAAAATAACATCCTTCCATAAAAGCCCAAATTTGAAGTTATATTTGTTTACACGTTTTTATTTTATTTTAAAGCGCAAAATCTGTAAAAATAAACAACTTGTCAACATTATTCTTGAATATTGACGAGTTTTTATTTTTATACGACAATTTATTTGTTTGACTTTTTCATATGTTATGAATTTATCTGATCTTCCAAAATTTTCTTCTAGCAATCGAAAAATAAGGATTTCAAGAGTGTGTTTAAACCTATTTTTAGATTAAAAGCAGTATTTAAGTTAATAATAAATTATTTTCAAGCATGCCTTTCATTTTATCAAGATAAAAATCTTGATTGCAATGAATTTTTTACTAAAACATCAGACAAAAAACAAAGTAAAAATCCTTGCTTTTTCTTTTGTCACTATTTTACAAACAGATCTATTTAACGAAGGCAACGCAACGGTAACAGTATTTTTCAACAATTCTTCTATAGTTGGCTGATCAGAAGTTGATGTTCGCTCCATTTCTAAATATGAAGTGCTTCTTTGATTGGAATTTTGACGTTCGTTGGTATTACTGAAAGATTAAAATTGATAACATTCTGCATATTATTTTGGCGTTAGAAAAATTTATAACAATATATTTAGATTCAATATTATGAAAATATCTTGGAAAATTATATGCTAAGTAATCAGTGCTAAAAATTTTTTTGTGCATACTTGAAAGTAAGAATATTAAAATCTAGAAGATTGATGCAGACCTATTTTTACTACGTTTTTTATAATGACTATTATAATTTTCTAAATGTTATAAAATCGTTTGTGCACTTGAAATGAATTTTTACTAAAACATTAGAGCTAGTAGTTAAGATTCAATATTCTACAACATGGTTTTTGTAGAACGTTGAATCTTAACTGATGGAACTACTAGCTTTTATGTAGTTCATTAATGTGTATTTTCTAAATAATAATATGAAAAAACAAGTGCCATATATGATTTAGATTTCTTATCTTAAATTTTCATCTTCTTACCTATTTCAAAGGTCACTATGATTGGTTGCATAAAAGTGACTGTAAATACTAAATCAATTAATGGATGAAAGTCATTTTTGAAGTTATTGTCATGAAAAAATGAACTGAATGCATAAAAACAATTTACCTAGGAACTTTTGACTATATAGGTTGTAAATCAAAAAATAAAAATAAACTGGTAAAAATTGTTTTTGAATTTTGGATAGCAGTTTTCATTCTGACCTAGTCATAAGTTGATTGCTTGTTTTTAAACTTTCCCGAGATGTCTTATACGACACTAGATTGACGTTTTTCCTCAACATCTTCTCGCGTTTTGAAACAACACAGAATATCTTATAATATATCGAACACATTAGCTAAATAAGTTTGAGACAAATAAATTTGATATACAAAAATAATTCGCTATATGTTTCTGACAACATTTAAAAAATTTTTTTCAACCTTCTATAATAAATTGATAACGGTATATTGATAATCAATTAAGAAGAGTTGAGTAATTCATTTTTTATTTATATAATCAAGAAATTTAAAATAAATTAAAATATATAAAAATAGCAGTTACTTGAAATCAGTAACTTTTCTTATACGTACCAGAAGTGGAATAAAGAAGCTCGCCATGGAACTATATATTCGATAAATAAGGCCATTAGGGTAACCACAAACGATTGTTTGCAAACACGAAGAAGACGTGTAAGAAGTATCTTTCGATGGAATAACTATTGCATAATCATCAATATGAAATATTAGTGGTGGACTACACACAACAAATGAAATTAGCCAAACAGAGCCCAATAACAAAGCAGCTGTTTTACGATTTCTAAAAAAATTGAGCATCAAAAAATTTGTCTTCATTTAAATTATGCACAATCATTGTAATTAAGTTAGTAAAAATTTTAATTTTGTGTTATCTGAAGTAAGATGATTTTCATCAGAATCTTATAAATTGTAATTTGGATAAAATGTAAACAGAAGTACCTTGTTCTAGAATATTTTAAGGGGTTAGTAATGGCTAAATATCGATCAATCGATATAACACAAAGATTAAGTATGGAAGCAGTGCAGAAGAGAACATCGCTTGTTGACCAAACTTTACAAAGTAACATATCAAATGGCCAGGCATGATCAAGTAATAAGTCTAGTAACGACAAAGGCATTACAAAGAAGCCAACTAAAAGGTCTGAAATGTTTTAAATTTGAAATGCATATAAGATTTGTTAAATTATTCACACAAAAGCAGTGTAACTTACAGTAACTTATTACACGATTACCTCTTCCTCTTAGATTGTTTGCAAAACTGAAGACCAGAAAGCAATTACATACTTTCAGAAAGCAAAACATAGTATATAATGAAAAGAGAATTGCTCAGTTAAGAAGGATTATTCAAAAATAAAAAGCTAAAAAAGTGCATGTCAAGTTTAGCTGATGTGTTATTCTTAAACATACGGTGTATTCCGCATTTATGATTTCTTTTTATATGAGGTCAACTTCAATGAGATAAAACTAAAATTTGATTAGTCTTGGCTATTATATTATAATATATTATATTATAATAACTTGACTAACACATTTTGAAATACTGTTGTAATTATCGTATGGTGGATTTGTTGTTGCAGGAAAGGAAGGATCTTGGAATTCTTTTTTAAAGGGATAGTAAACCATTGGATGGGTCAGTTAAACGGAAACCTACTTCCTGAACAGCACAGGAAGCTTCCTGAGCATTGTTTCCAGAGTCCTCTGCGTTACACGGACAAACTTACCAGCTGTGGCAAGTGACATCAATAACTTGTTTGTAAATGTTCTCATTCGTTGATAAATGATAACAGATAATATCACCAGAATATTTCCAATTATCACAACAGATATTAATATTGTCTGAAATCAAATGCAGAGAAATCATTTGGTATTTCAGTACTTCATTTAAAAAAATAGAATACTTGATAAGTTCATAAAAAAATATATTTAACAAAAATTACTAAAAGAATTAAAGTAAAAAATTAAATTTTTCGTATTTATAAGTAAAAAAGCATTTTTGAAGATTTTATAAGAATAAAGCTCATGACCACATTTCTAAGCAGAGTGAGAAAATTTCTCATTTAATAAGAATCATACTGTAAATAGAAAATCATCATACCAAAGCAACGCCGATAATAATGTGTTGAACACTTAAATCCAACCGTAATCTTTCGATTACTGTACAATTCACCATCGTGAAAATGGTCCTGAAACTATTCCAAAAAGCAATTTTTGCTGCCAGTACTTTTCTTACTGTTGTTATTGCTTTTTGCACACTTTTGCCAGTGTTTGTAATTATTACTACTATTTATTAATAGATTAACATCATTTATTTGTTGTTTTTTCTTTCAAATTTTTGCAAGTGAAAACATCATTTTTGCTAAAAGCAAAGCTTTATTTATATATTCACAATGCTAAATTCTTTTTTTCCTTCAAATTTGAATCAGAAACCAACTAATTTGCTAATTAGACTTTTTTAAAAGTTAGCTATGACGTTTAGAGATTCCTTAAACATTACTATCCGTAATACACAAATACTGAATAAATGTAAAATTCATTAATCTTTTTTTTTGCAGTATTTTTTGCTGATAGGATATTCCTCAAAAGAAAGAATATCCAAGCTATTATAAAAGCTACATTATATTATTGATCATTGAAAGAGATTCCTAACCAACAGTATGATTAGACTGCTTTAGTATGGTTTAGTAAAAAACAAATAAATAGGATAATAAAAAAACTAGCTAACATTACTACTTTTAAGATACTATCAAGTGTAGTAGACAGAAAAGTAACATGAATTAGCTTACTTCCCTAGCGATATGAATAAGCAAACTTTGAAATAAAGTACCTTTTGCTATAAACAGGTCTTTGCTGGGCTTGGGAGCAATTATAAATTTTGTTTCAAGGTATTTTTTTCAAAAATTTTTGCAAACAGTGTGTAAGCAAAGAAGATTGAAAACAAACAAATAAGATGACAAAACAACTTCATTATGCAAATTTTATTCTCTTACTAAATGATAATAATAGAAAATAATTGGTGATTTACTACTGTTTCAAGCAAGTATTAAGAATAACTATTCTGATTTTTAAAAATTTAATTTAATTTTTCACTGAAGCTAAAAATTAACACTGAGCACATTCATTTATTAAATACAATGTAGTTTTACTTACAAAGCTTGCTCAAAACTTCAACAAAATAACAAATAATTTTAGTTATCTGTGATGTCAGCATAAAGTTCTTTCAGCTATTACTATTTTAAGATTTTAAGCTGCATTTTAGCACAATTAGTTGAAAATTATAAAAGTGAAACAGAAAAAAGTTGCATTACGTAAGAGTTCATTAGTGATTTGATGCAATTTTCAATTGCTAGTTGTGTGATGACGTGATACAGAATGAAATTAATAACTACAAACCTAGCATATTAAATCAGGCAATCAATAGCAATATTTCATACTTTGCTTATTGTATTTCGTGGTGAAATCTAAAATTTCACGATAAAATTGTGAACAACTACTTTCACGTCACCGTAAACATTTGGTAAAACATAGCAACAAAATAGATTATGAAATTTAGTATGAGTAAAGCTATTATTAATAAGCGTATAATCGCTAATAATAAATAGCTTCATGCATTTTAAGTTAAATGTAGTCAATGGATCACATGGAAGTAAGAAAGTAAAATAACTAGGGAATTAGTGATACTTTAAATCGTTCAATAAAAAGATCCCAAGAGGATCACAAATTGAAAACGTATCCATCATATTCAGCAATAACAATTTACGCTTGTTACTTTACAATTTAGTTTTCTTTGATGACTGAAATGAACTTGGTCAATTTACATTGTACTGATTCCTATTTTATCATTTACTTTCTCCTACACGCACTTCTTTAGTTTTAAGCTATTGCAGATCATGATGCTTTTGAAAAAATGAAATACTAAAAACGATAATATAAGAAGTACGAAAAGATGGATGTGTGGAAAAATGAACAAGAAAAGATTTTTTTTCTTGTTAATCAAATTTAACTTCAAATTTTTTCAAAAGCAAATATAACAAAGCGCATTTTCTCTCTTATTTTATACCTGACAAGAAACTTCATCTACTTTCGATTACGAAAATTTAAAGGGAGTAAATTCTGAAATGATCTGAAAATATGCAGAATATGTTTGCTGAAAAGAGAAAACTAATTTATATATATATATATATATATATA